GAGAAGGAGACGGATATCGGGTAGGGCGAGAGTGTGAGGTCAAAAAAATACCTCATATAGCGGATCACAGCCTCGTAAGCTTCTCGAGAGGTCGAGATAGAAATGGCGAGACGAGAAGGGCGAGGGCAAGGGGGAGAGACGGGAAGGACTGCACGTGAAAAATATCCTAAACGCGAGAAGCATACGCGGAACGGAGCTCCTGATCATATTACGCTCCCTTAAGGGAATCACGATAAGAGAACGGAGCTTTTTCAAAACGTCTCATGCGAACGTGGTTTTCAAACGGAAGGGCGGCGTTTTCAAAACGCCGTCGCTTCCAATAAGCGCTCTCAAACGGACCCTAAATCTATAATAGCCGTAGTTTTTTTAGCAGAAGTTTCTTCTATAGCAGCTTTATAACTGCTTCTTCAAACAGCTACAGCTGTCCCAAACAGACCTTCAATTAACAACTTTAATCACTTGCACAGGTTATTTAATTTTGAAAAATTCAACTTCATCAAATAATTCAAAAATAATGTTTTGGGCTTATAATTAAAACCTAAAAAGACATAGCTAGTGTCAGTTAAATAGGGCGGTGCAGCCATTAAATGGCGACAGATAGGAACATGTTGAAACTAAAAAGGTTTATGCAACTATATGAAATAAAAGGTGCAGAACAGAGCAAATACTTCCGTAACATCTCAAACCACAAAAAAATCAGTTGAAAACATAATAAAGAAAGAAGAAAACTGCTCAAACAGAGGAGATGGAGGTTTAGCTTGTGTGACTGATTATGTGTTAAGTGGGGAGGGCTGGTTTTAATATGGAAATTCACAAATCTAGTTATAATAAACATCAATGATGATGCCAGAGGTTGTAATAAACATCAACTAAAATAAATGTAGTATCTGCTCAATTGAGCTCTAATGGTGGGGCATATATAATAACTATGTAGTAGGTAAAATACCGTATTAGATAATTATAACAATTGAAAAAAAGGAGAAGGAACAAAGCAGTGTACAACTCATATCCCCAAACTTAAGGTAGTGCTGCAAAGTATGATAGCTCTGCAATTTGGCAAAACGTTGTGATGTTGCTATGTATTGATTTGTTCAAGACATGCACTTCCAACACATCAATTGTTTATGAACTTTATTTAGAGAAGGTTGAGCTCTATTTATTTTAATTTGCATTTCTATCTACTTTTCGCATGCACAGATAGTATAAAAAAAAATCGACTTTTTTTACTTTCAGATCCTTGCACAATTTTTAGGTTCTGTTGTCTTTACGAGCTATAATTAGTATGTGAAAGATTTGTGGAATCAATAGGAAGTATGTAGGACAAAGGATTTAGGTTTCCTTTGGAATACCTTGATGTGTAGTATGAATTTAAATAATGATTTGCATTTTTTTAAAATCAAGTAATGAGTAAGCATTAGGTTTACATGGTCTAGAATGTGTTTCCTAGATTAATGCTCCCCTTTTTATGCCATTTGTTTGTACAAATTCAATCAATCACAATGTAGTGATAACTTAGACATCTAATCATCACTTGATTATAAAAGTTAATCTTAATTAGATTTGAACTAGAATATTTGCTTTGTAATGATAACTTAGACATCTAATCATCACTTGATTATAAAAGTTGATCTTAATTAGATTTGAACGAGAATACTTGCTTGAGCCCGAGATATGATGAACACTCTTGACTACTGAAGTTCATCTTAATTGCTTTAGATATAGAATGATCTTTTATCTGATCTAAATAACTTTTTCATTATTTTTGACGTTACCATATAATGATCCTATTTGTCCTTTTGCTGAGGCTATCATATTTTTATTGATCCATGGATTGGCTAATCCTTACTGAAGCTAAAATGGATGTACTGTCCTAGATAGTGAATTGTACCTATATGAAAAGGATTGATATCAATAGAATTACACTTGTTCTTACTCCATTGAAATTTCTTCATGAAGGCTAGTTGTCTCCTTTGAATCCATCAAAATTCGTCCCAAAATCATGTTTGACCTCTTGGGTACATGGAGAACCTCCTACCGTACTCACCCAATTGTTCACTCTAGTAGTACTCGCACCGTAATCCACTTGAGTCATATCCATTTGTCAATGGGTAGATTAACAAGAAGTGTCTGTTAGTTCTCTTCCTCTTTATTCCATTTCGTAGGTTGACTCTCATTTTATTCATCTAGTGTTGGTGTCATCAGCTTGGCAACAAGCTTTGCAAAAGTGGTCAGAGAATATGGAGTAGTTTCTTTCATTCCATCTAAATAAACATCTCTCCTTTCCTAATTTGAATGCCATTCCTAATTTTAATGTTGCAATTTTGCTATTTATCTCACCAATTTTTTCTTTAAAAATATATCCCTTCCAGATCAAACTTGCAAATTTTTTTCTGGGAGCCTCTATGATCAATTTACTTGATCATGCACTTTAGATGGCTATGGGAAATATGAGTTCCTTAGACAAGTAATAATTTAGATCGACATATTTATAATTGCACCTTTTTTAATTCTATTTTCATTATTAGTTTATCAACGCCGTGTAATAATTAGCTCCTCACTTGAATTCCTTATGAAAAATTACTATTGAGCATCTTTGAAGTTGCTTTTTCTTTTTTGAATAACTAAAACAATTTTAAGATTTTTGGAAAAAATTATCGTGAAAAATTCTGAACTTTATTAAAGTTGAGAAGTTTTCTTGGAATGATAGTTTTAAGTAGCTTCCCAGAAAATGTCTTTTAGATTTCAGTTTTCTTATATAATTAATTAATTAAGTATGCTCAGGATATAATTATATATTATTCATTATAATATCATTTCTGTCATTCAATCAACTCTTATTTGTACAACAGTGCTTTTCTACCAATAGGACTTTTGCAACACACTTGACAATATTGTTAATGCTCTTAAGCTCAATAGTGACTCTTTGCTTGAGACTGCCGAGCATGACAATACAACATAAGAGAGAATGCCAAAGCGAGTCTTTCCGTATCTTTATTACTAACTTTGTTGCTGGACTGTTACCGTTCATACTGTTAACTGAATTGAATTGTCTTTCTTTCTTGAAATTAATTTTAATGTTGATATTTTCATTATAATCATTTACTTCTGAAGAATAGTAAAAAAGCTGTCTCAGAAAAGGTTCAAGCTTGTGCTTGTTTGGTTGTCTTGTTATATTGCATGCTATGTTTTGATGATAATAGGCTTAGGAGAACCATTAATTACCGTTGATATCATAATTATCATCTAGCCAGTAAATACTCAAGTAATAAATAAACAAATAGGAAATGGAAAAAAAGTGAACAATATTGAATAGTTGGACAAAAATAAAGTTATTTGAGACCTGTGCTAGCCATTACTGCCTTCATCAAAAACCTTCCTTTTTTGGAAAGCGAACATGCTCTCATTGCAGTCAATGTTTTTATAATATCTACATATTCAACAGCCAGCGTGATTCTATAGAAAGTTTTTTATCCTCTTTCTTTTATAGAATTTATCATTTGCTCTTAACAAAATTTCAGCACTTTAAAGGCAACATTTGTCTTTTATTTCCTGTTTTTAATTGTTATTTAATATGCATTCTTGGAATTTGTTTTCAGGTTATTGACAAGGTTCAAGAAGAAACTAACAAGAGCCGCGCTGGTTAGACCCGCCTCATAAATCTCATTCAGTTTAACTAGAATTGCTATCTAAAAAAAAATCTATACCACAGAGCTTGCTACGCAACAGTACCCAAAGTTAAACTCTATTTACCGTCACTTTGACAAATTTTCTTAAAAGTTTAAGCAATTAGGCCCCCATAATTATTTTGAAGTTGGTTTTTATTTCAAGTTAAAATCATCATGTTTGTGTGCTTTTAAATACAGACAGGAAACCACCTGGGGTTGGAGGTCGGGGAAGGGGAAGAGGTAGAGAGGATGGCAGCAGTACACAAGCTAAAGGAATTGGAAGAAGTTCTAATGACAACAAAGTCTCAGCTAGCGGCCGCGGTAGGGGTGGACCTGGTGGTAGAGGTGGTGGCAGAGGTATGGCATTGCTCCCTCGCAATCTAAATCTTGTTCTATTGAGTTAAATTTATTTGTCACTTCTTACAAAAGAAATTTTATTATTCTGATAATCACTTAATAGAACTTAAAAAAAATTGAATTACTCCTTAAACATCATATATATATATATATATAAGATCTTTTTCCTTAAACCATTCTTACCATCTCATCAACTTCAACGCCGATTTAACATAAGAGAATGATTAATTATCAACTATGCTTAATTTGAATTATGGAATTCTTCAAAGTATTCAAATTGCTCAATATCCAATCATCAGTGTGTTATGCAAATATGAAATTTCATTCAAGCATAAAAAAAATTGTATCTATGCGAATTGGTTCAGGGCTGTCGGTCTGACTGTCACCCTCTTTTGGTAACATTTTGAGTAGCATAATTGTAATTGCAGTTAATTTATGATGATCTATGTGCTGAGATTATAAAAGAGATTACAAGTTATGCTTACGATGCATGATGCATCGATGCATCGATGCATCGGAATTACTTAGTTTTGAAAGTTTTGAAATTTTAGGGTGATATTTATATAATATTTGAAGAATTTAATGCCTATTGTATTTTTCAATAACTTGAGTTATATTAGTGCAATTGTTTACATTTCTTTTATTCATATTTTAAAAGCCTCAATTAAACTATTTAACGACAAACAAACAATACCAAATTCTTTTGGCTGTTTGTCAGAATGACTGATTCATGCGTTGGTTTTTTTCGCACACAATTTAATAGGTGGAGGGCGCGGACGCGGTGCATGAGAGGCCCAATGACAGAAAATGCTTATATTTATTTATCCAAGGTTCTCTCTCCGCAGCAGCTTTTGTCCATGTGAAGTTGTTTTATGTTAGGTGTGTTGCTTCTCTTGTTCTCTATGATATTTGCATAAAAAATATAGAAAAATTGGCATTTTGGTGAAAAAATGTTTATTAATTGAGGCATGGAAAGGTGTATGGATGGTAGCGGCCAGAAATAGAAGGTAACTTTTCGTTTTCCAACTGAAGCATTCTTGCTGCAAGTTGCTATTACTAAATTCTCTAAGATGCTTGACATTGTCTAAAATATGACAGCTCTTCACTTTTTTTTCTTTTTTGCTTTGGAAAACTTCAGTCAGAACTATATAATGAAGTTTATTTTATTGGAAATCCATGTAAACACGGCGGATTTTGATTAATTTTGGAGTAAATAGTGTGAAAATAGTTTCAGCTTTTGTTAAAAGGTGACAAGAAAATATCTTCTAAGTTGTTAATTGCTCTTAAAGAGATAGATGAAGCATACCAAATGATCTCTAAGCATGCAAAAATGATCTTCATCAACAGTTTCTTAAAGATAACAATTAATTGATGATTAATACTAGTAAAATTTATAACTATATTCTGAGCTACATGATCTCTGATAAAATGATATCTTATTTCATTGCACTTGATTTATGAATTTTGATCCAAGTTTTTTGTTAAATTTTTCATGCTAATATTGTTGCATATAATAAGGATATGTTTGAGACTAAGTTTATAGTTTTTTATTGTTGTCGAAGCCATTTTATTTGTGCGATATAACTACTTATATCGCAAATATGGCCTATATAGTGAGAAGGTCAATTAATTTCTACATTTAACCAAAATACTAGTATGATATCTATAAATGGCCATGTGCCTGAACGACTTTTTCAATCAACGCTGCAAATTGTATAGCCTACATAAAAAAAAACTCTAAAAATATATGCTTTCATTCGTATGATACCATAATCTTCTTTATCTTATATTTGGTATGCTGTTTAAGAATTTAAATATTTTTTAACTAATAATAAATTCAATTTTTAGGATCTATACAAAGTTTAATATATAATTATATGGGGACATGATATATATATATTATGCATCAGCACCAATGTTAGGATGAAACTGCAACCAACCAAGTTGATTAGATTGGGAATGAGTGATGGAGGCCAAAACTCCAGGGATGGAGACATAGGCTCTCGACAAATGGCGGAATGCCTAGTGTTATTTGGTTGGGCAACCTTGCCATGTAGGGAAGAATGCTAAGAGATGAGGACACAAATCATGGAAAAAAGTGATGAGTCAAATTGCTGAAGTCTTGAGGGTCGTCGCAGCACTAGTAGGAGCTCGAGCCTCCAAACAACAGAACCCACCTCATAAGGAGGCATTGATGTACAATGGCCGAAAGGTGAACCCTGACCCTAAGGCCGCCGATGATTCCCAATACCTGGACAATGGGGAATCCAAATAGGTTGAAAGGCAGCGAACATGACACACTGAAGCTTTCCGACGACTGAAGAATGCTTCCTCCCTCTAAATATCTAGGGCAGAGTCTCAAAAAAAATTCAAACTGCATGTTTTGGAAGCCTACATAGGACGATCATACCCCAACGACATATCACTGCATTTGAGTCGGTAGTGTGCTTGCTCAAATCTCAGATGCATTCAAGTGTCGGCTATTTCTCACTACCTTGAAGTCTTCACCCTTGAAGTGGTTCCATGGGCTCCCAGTCGGAAGTATTAGCCTTTTTGTTGAATTCAAGAGATATTTCTTGGCATAGTTCGCCAACACATAGAGATCCACCAAGAGCGTCCAGTCCTTGTGGCAACTCAAGCAAGGAGAACACGAGAGCCTCCGCGCCTTCGTTGCACGTTTCTAGTGGAAATGTTAGAGGTAAAGGACCTCAAAGAGGAGCACAAGCCACCCATCCGACGTAGTTTCGAGGAAGAGCAATCTCTGAAAGAACGAAGGAATTGACTGGTACTACTAACACAACGAACAGGCAAGAAATTGAGACCCTCGACCGATCCGCTACTGTGAGAGGCCATAGAAACACTACAAGAAACCATTCGGTGATCATGAGGGGCTTGCAAGCTACTCCTCTAATGGTATCAATGATGGAAATTACGGACATTGTCCAAGGCAAAGATTATTTCAAGGAGCATGCACCGATGAGAGCTGGAGGTTTTCTCCGAGATACGAGAAAATAATATAAGTATCACCAGGATCATGACCACAACACATAGGAATGTAAACACCTTTGGAATATTATTGAGGAGTTAATCAAGGCTGAAAGTTGAAGGAGTTAATGGATGCAAGACGCTCGGGCCAGAGACAAGGGAAGATGCTAGCACTAGAGGACCTACTTGGGCTTGCCCGAACAAATGTAGTTCATATCACCGAGATAATCCCTGTACTCTTTACGTAAAAAAATTTACGCTGGATTTACTTTCCACCCTGTTAGCAATGTCAAGTCCCCCACCTAATGCCCTGCTAAAAACACATATAAAATAAATGTGTGCCACTCTAATAGAAGATTATAAAACTTCCCAGGAAAGGAAAATGCTTGGGGAGTTGTTCGAAAGGATGAAAAAGTAAGGCAGGAGTTGGGAGAAAAGAAGATTGCCAACCGCGACACCAAGATCGATCAACTGAGCATTAAAAAAAAGACCACCAGCCGCCGCGCCAAGACAACTCGGGTGAGCATTAAAGAAGACGCCAACTGCGATGCCAAGATTGTCAGACTGAGCATTAAAAGAAGAATGCTAGCAGTGGCGTCGAGATCGTCCGGTTGAGCATTAAAAGGACTGTCAGCCGCAACGTTAAGATCGCTGGGCTGAGCATTAACTAAAGATTGCCATCCACAACGCCAAGATCATCAGGTTGAGCATTAAAAGAAGACTGCCAGCCACGACACCATGGTCTCTCATCCGAGCATTAAAGAAAGACCGCCATCCACAATGCCAAGATTTCCTGACAGAGCAATAAAAGATGACTGCAAGCCGCGACACCAAGATCACCTGGCCGAGCACTAACTAAAGGTGCCAAAATTGCCTGCCCGATGAAGCTGAATCCCACAGATGATAAACAGTGAACTTGGAATCCCCTAAGAAACATGAAGCAAAAAGACAAAAGTATGAATAAAAAAGTACAAAAGAGAACTGATCCGCCTCATCACGAAGAAAACAAATGCAATTTTATTGATTATGAAATTGTTACAAGCGTTAAAAAACAAATTACATATAAAGAGTTCTATTGAAAAGAAAAAAAAGGAGAGAGGAGTCTATGCTTTAGGAGGCCAATTGAAAGATCCCTACTCACTTTTAGCATCCTAATTATCCTCAAACAACTCAAAATAAGAAAATTGAGTCGCAAACTCTTGAAGGTCGAAATATTTGGCCCAACCGAACGAATGGATCAATCGCCGTCAGACTCTCGATACAATTTTGTTCATCAAGGAACTTCACCTGTATGGGGTGGGATGGAAACAACGAAAAGAACTCTTCATTAGTTCTCATGGTCGCCATTCTCTTTTTCAACTTACGGTTCTCTTTAGCCGTGAGTGAGAATAACTCTGAAACTGTTGAAAGCTCGTCTGCTGCTCTTGGTTGCATGCCCCCACATTTCTGCCTCCTTGGCCGGCTTGGCTGAGACCTTGGCTCGTTCAGCGGTTGTGACCCACTTAGTTTCAACAAACTCCAATGCTACCGATTGAAGATGAGAAGCCTCCCACACCTTCAAGTGATAACGATCGACCTTTTTAAGTAACTCTTGTCTCTCCAATTTCCATTGTGACTCGCAAACATCTGCGACTAAATATCCTCCAAGAGCGCATAAGACAAAGTTTCAGCAAAGGGAGAGCCAGAATATCACTTGATCGACCAGTTGATAGTGATGAAATGGTCGCCAGGAGAAGTTCAAATCTTTGGTCCGAAATTTTGATAAGGAAAACCCCTCATTCCCGAAATAGCGAAAGAAATGGGGGAGCAGATTCGATGACCAGTTATTTACTCCTGCGACGTTGGGTCTCAAAGGTCCCCCTCATAGGACTGGTCTCGAACTTGACCTCACCGGGAGTCACTGACCGGCTGACCTCATTCTCGGCAGGGAGATCAAGAAATGAGATCCTACGACAAGGGAAACCTGTACCTCCCCTCTTCTCTCTTATTGAGCCCCCCTTGACCTAACCTCTCCTGGAAAACCTGGACGATGCCTCAGCTCCTGGGACACCGGGAGGGTCTGCACAATGAAACAAGTATCAAAATTAATAGAAAACCTAAACTTGATAACAACAAAGATCACCTTATAGACAATTATCTTACGGAACACAACAAATGTGACAAAAATGTTAGGAAATAACTCCTCAACTGCCAGTCTACTTTTCTCATCCGCCGTCAGGAGCCGTCATGACGAGCTTCTCTCCTGCCACTGACACTCTCCACTAGTTCTCGTCCACCTTGGCCTCAGCCTTCACCCTCCTCTTGATCAACCGAGAGGCCGCTTCTTTCGATAGCTGGGCCTATACAACATTAGAGGCAACCCACAACTTTGTCATCATCTTACCAGACACTTTTGGGAATAAAACTTGCCCCACAGTCACTGGATCGGTATATTGGGGAACTGAAAGCAGTTGACCCTCGATGTCACCCCCTTGACCTGAGAAAGGTCTGCACCATTCCTCTTTTGAAAAGAGAAATCAGACGGGATCGACCTAATGCCCCAATGCTAAACGGAAGAGGCAATGAATAACACATACTTCCAGTCTCTAGCCCGGTCTTCCGGGCTGACAAATTGGAATCTCCACGTTGACCCAAACTGAGCATATCCACCTGATTCTACTCTGAACAAGAACATATGATTAAATGCATCTATGAACCGTAGAACACTTTTTTGCTAACAGAAGATGATATAAGTCATAATCATCGCCATAGAATTTGGTTTGACCAACACAGAAATGACCCCATAGCGGTTGAGAATCGACTGAAGTTCGTGACACAATGACAATCACAACCTGTATCAGAAGCGGTCTCGGTACATCGCCAATCATCGTCGTATCTATCGGCCGCCCTTTCATCTGGATGAGCCGCATGCAATCTTTTCAATAAAGGTGACATTAGATGATGGCAGAATGGAACGTTCAGGGGCGGCCACCTAACCGAAGGTACGAGGGGTCCTCTTCAGAGCTATATAGAAGACAAAGAATAAGTGACAACAAGCTAAAGTAAAAGATAAAAATCTAAAGATGAAAAGTCAGAAAGCATGCCCTAAAGATCCTTGATACCCGTTTATAGAAATTCTACGGAAGATGAAACACCGCTCATAAGAACGAAGGCAGGCACCTGGTCGAGCACAAATATCCAAATTACAATATCAATATATATATATATATAT